AATACTCTACCTCAAACTAAAACTATATAAGGTACATTGCTTAGCTTTATAGTTACAATGACATTTGATGTGCAAGATTCACCATCTAGAATTCACCAATCTGACTACTTTTGAAATCAGAAACTAGCTTTTCATGATTAAAGAGAGAAAAAAAAATATTTAAGTTAATCATTAACGGCTCTGATTTTACTAGCCCACCAGATGGCAATCTAATCTCATTGAATGAATATTATTGCTACTGTTACTATTGTCACTTATTTTTTCTTAAGTTAAATGGGGATTTTGGAGTTAGGTAAGCCATTACAGCTTATAAATTGTGAAACTTATTTACAAATATCACCTAACCCCAGTATGTGTTGATTTAATAGTCTTGTGGAATGGTTGCTTTTCAACACAAGCAGTCTCAGCTTTCAAACCCATCTGCACATACAAAATGTAAGCAACCAAACAACACTGAGTCTGTACATCAGAAACATTAGTTTGCATTTTATTTTGGGGATTTTTTCTGCCATATTAACTGTGATGCAGTTTACTGTGGTATACTTTACCCTCTATGTAGGGAGGGTTTTTGAACAGTGTTGTCTATTTTCCTGTCACTGTGGGCTCCAGGGCACAGTAGTACGTTGCTGCGTCTGTCACTTTAGCAGAGGAGATTTCAAGATATGTGTGGGTTTTCTCTTTATTCAGTTTTCCTGAGAATCGAGGATCTAGTTCCACAACTTTAGACTTCTGTAAAACTTTCCCATTTGCATGTAGAATTACTAAAAGAAATTCAGGAGCCGATTCAGGATATTGGCGATACCAATATAGACTCGCTGCTGAGGAGTAGTTGCAGGACAGGGATATAATGTCCTTTTCTGTTTTGTATACTTCATTGTGGACCGGTGTGATGACATTCCCAAAAATATCGCCTACAGAAAGAAATATAAAAATGTAGCTCGTTAAAGACATGGATAAGCAGCTAAGCATGCAATAAACAAAAATCTTGCAAGTCTGGAACAGAATACATACCTGCAAGAGAAAACAAAATAAAAACAAAGAGTATCATTGTTCAGGACGATATGCAAGTTAGTGTGCAACACCTGTTACTGTTACTGAAGCAAGCATTCCATTTTTTTTCTCCAGTTAGAATGTCTCAGTAGCCCCTCCCATTAAAACGGTAATTCATAAACTGCAATGTATGGAAACCTATTTAAAAATGTAAACTGTTTGTTTGAAATAGAAATCTTTTGTTATGTCATTGCTGTCACTTCTGCTTAATTTAATGTGCCTTTGCTGAATATAACTATTAATGTCTTTAAAAAAAAACATTTGAACGGTTATGTATGTAAACCACACTTTAAA